AAGAGAAAGGTGACATGTGTAAAGATAAGGTGGATATTGTGCTGCACACACCATCGAGAAACGTCGCTTATTACAACTTACCAAGAGATTGTTTCATTAATTTATTTTTTATTCAATGAATACATTAGAAAGTCAAAATGATCGGGTGGCAGAAGAATTAGCTGCTAAAGTCGCTCGAATGAAAGATCTTGCATTTACAATTGAACATGAAACAAAAGAACATAGTCGATTTCTTGACACAATGAGCTTTGAATTTGAAACAGCACGTAGTTTTCTTCGTCGTGGTCCTCGTCATATCCGTGATGTTATGCAGTATAGTGGACCTGTTGATCCTCGTGCAATATTTTATATTATTGGTGCTATTGTTTGTGCTCTTCTTTTTCTTTATTACGTTGTCAGTCCATCTCGAACAAAGTAAAATAATATTTATAAACTTTGTATATAACTTTGTTATTCTTGTCTGGGGTTTGATTATTTGTGAAAACTTAGTTTTAACCAGACCTTTGTGATTTATGTCTTATTACTCAAATAAAAAAAACCATCCTTAAATAAATAGAAATTTTTACAACTCCTCCTTCATATTTGCAAGAAAAAAAGGTGGTGATGCACCAAAAAAAAAACAAACAAGCGAATAATATCGTCTACAAAAAGAACTTGAAAAATTACGAAAAGCTGATTCAGGACTAGCTGAAGTTGATGAAGGAGGAAAATATACGACTGATGTACCATGGTATGTTACATATGATACTCTTAATGAATGGTATGCTCGTGGTCATACAGGGTGGGTGTGGGTGCGGGTGTGGATATAAATCTTCTCTTTCCCCTTATCCACACTCCACACCAACACCCTCAAAGTTTGATATCAAAGAAATATAATTAATCTTATCAAAATAATAACTTATTTTCATGCCTTAATATTCTCTGCCAAGATGACAGATAGAAAATTGATATTTGATTGTAGTATAAAATAGTATTTATTGATTTTATTAAACAAGATATACATGTCAATTATAATGTTCGATTATCACTTTGTTGATATGAGAAGAAAAAAAAGAAATGCTATCATCTACAGTAGCAAGGATTTATCATACATTAATATTTAGCTGTGAAATACATCTATTTTGGGCAAAGAATATCTGTCAGCTGCGTCTTTGGAATGGCTGGTTCAAAAGGCATGCCTCTTCTTTTATGTTGTGTTGCCTGTTCGTAACTGTAGGCCAATTCAATCAATTTAGCTTCGCTGTACGCAGTTCCAATGAAAGACAATCCGAAGGGAAAATTGGGTGCGGGCCATATTGGCAACTTTAGTGAGGCCGTGTTTTCGTTCGTAGTCACCTTTGTATCATTGGGTAAAAATCCTAATGGAACAGTAATTATGGGATAGCCTGCAATACCAGGAGGACTGCTAGTAAAACCTTCTGTTGGAGCAATAAGAGCATCGAGATTGTATTTCTTCAAAGTGGCATCGATTCCTCGACGTCTACCAAGGTCGAAATCGCTTGCTAGAGCATTGGTATAGATAAGATCTTGCAAATTGGTAGTGTTTTGTGCTTCGAGAAACCTATTCAATACGTTCAAATAAAGACTTATAAAAAGTATGTGAATGATTGCCAAACTTACAAGTTCTGGTTGTCTCGACCAGGTGGTAGTTCTAGATCTGGGTGCGCAATGTTAAAATTGATTAGATCCTGTAAGGTTGTCGTGTTCGAAGGAATACTTTTTAATTGAGAGAGGTATTGGTTGATTCCATCCTTGAGCTCGTATTTAAGGACGATGAACTCATGCTCAGCTGTAGCAATTTCATCTGCAGTCTCCAGATCTGCAGGATCAGTAATGTTCGCACCGAGTTTTTTGAAAATTTCTTCAATGGTTTTATTGAACTCTGAAATAATGTAGTCTGGATATCCACCAAAAGTTGAGTTGGCAAAGATTTTACGAAGAACTCCAATGCGTGCACCTCGCAACCCATTTGCATTCAGATATTGACTATAATCTGGGACTTTATCAGGCTGAGCTAGAGTGAAGTTATCTTCGTTATCACGTCCTGCAATAATAGTTAGAATAGCAGCCACATCCGCAACGGACTGACACATGGGACCAACGGAGTCTTGATTTTGTGATATCGGTATAACTAGATGACGAGAAGTAAGACCGACGGTTGGTTTGATACCGACAAGATTGCTTCGACTGCCTGGACATACAATACTACCATCTGTTTCAGTACCTAAGCTTGCAGCAGCAAGTCCAATCGAAGAAGCAATACCACTACCAGTGGATGATCCACAAGCGTCACCCTGAGGATAAAAGGCACTCGTAGCCTGTCTACCACGACCTGACCATCCATTAGTCATATTCACACTACGGAAGTTTGCCCATTCGCTAAGAGACGTTTTCCCGAGTATAACTGCACCGGCATTACGTAGTTTCTTTACGACTGTTGCATCATCTGGAGTAATACTGCCAAGAAGTGCAAACGAACCTGCTGTCGTATTCATTCCATCTTCAGGACGTGTTGCAATATTATCTTTCAATAAGATCGGGATGCCATGAAGTGAGGAAAGAATTGTACCATTCTGGCGCAACATATCGGTTGCATGAGCTGCACCCAGAGCAGTAGGTGAAATTTCGATTACAGCACGAAGCTCAGGACCCTTGAGATTGACTTCATCGATACGAGCGATGTAGGCTTTGACTAAATCTACTGACGTAAAATAGCGCTTTGAAAGTCCATCTTGCAACTCCGCAATGCTTGCATTGTAAAGATTGAATTGTTTGACGATCGAATATATGCTTGTTTTGCATCGTTTAATATGAACTGTCGATTGTGTGCTATCATTATACTGTAGATCGATGGGAAATAGATCACGGTCGTTGTTGAATGATTCATTGATCTTATTAAATAGTGCGATTTTACAAAAATCGAAACGACCACATGGAAGATAGTTGATAATCACTTGCAGAATGAGATGAGTATTATTTACATTTGTTACGGTACATTTGACTCTATCAAATATTAAATAAGATAAAAGTATATAAGTACTACATACTATTCTAATCTAATTAACTTACAAACAATTCTGACGATTATTATCTGTCGTCGGGTCACTTGCAATGGAAATATTTGCCAGTGAGTTACGAGATAAGCTGTATGATAATTCCAGCTGAAAGATATCAAATGTATATGACATACACAATAAAAGAAGATAGTGAGAGTTACCTGTCTTGCAATATCGACAGCGTTAATAATTGGCAAGTTTTTCAAGGCATCACTGCTCTCAAACGTAAACGTTAAATTTGGTGGTGGTACTAAAACTAAAACGTAAGACATTCTATATAAGTATGTATTCTTATCATGGAATAAGTTTTCACACGTACTGCTATCATTACGAGACGGAATATATAGGGGAATTAATGCCAAAACGATGACGACAGCAATGCCAAAGAGAATAACTGCAAGCAGACAAATACTGCGCCGTAAGCTGTAACTGTATGTGAAAACAAAAGTAAAGGATAGTTGAATGAAATGAAATTTGATATATACTTGAACAGCTGCATGTGATTGAACTCGTTGAAGTAGATTCAGCAAGAATCCTATTACTTGTCTAGAAGTCTGTTCTCAAGACTACAAAAAAAACAACACAACTAGAAAAACTTCATAAAGATTATCACCTGAAACGTCACTTTACAAGGAGCACGGCTTACATTACTCTACTCGAATATCAAATTATACAATGTAGTCGACCGTTCTCGGATTGATCGATATCAAGTCTGTATAAACGCAAAATATTAACAACTGGAATAATTCTTTTCATGTTTTTTTTTCTATTTATTTTTGAAAAAATGTCAAGAGATGTATATCCACTGTAAAATGTAAATTTCTTTTTATGACAGCCATAAACTGTAATGGCATGTATTTAATAAGAAGAAACAAATATAAAAGCGCATTTATGAGTCTCTTGATATAGTGTCTCTCAATTATTTATTCACATGTAATCAACAAATGCATATTCACTGGTAAAGTCTAAATAAATATATTTTTGCAAACATATCTGACAATACGCTCAAGTTTTAAGACAAAGATGTAAACATGAAATATTATTAAAACTGAAGGAAAGATCGACCTCATGTTATCCGATTTAAAAATGAGAAACTGTAATCTAAAAAACAACAAAAGACGTATTTGTGCGGGAATAAAATTCTGTTAGACATATCTTTTTCGATGGGTAATAACAAGCTTATATTCTCCACTTTTCTATATCATAATCTCTACACTCGCGCAAACTAATCTGCATAATAATACCATGCAATTCAACGTCATCTACATACCGTCTAATTTACGATCATATGTCGTCGTATACGATGAAAAATGGATTTTTTGTTCTTTTCTTTTCGTTTACGACCATTTAAGAGCAATATTTTATATAATATACAGTGGCATACGATGCAATATATTTATTCTTAAGTAGTGAAAAGAAAGAAGGCAAATCATAGACGCCAGAGCTATTAGGCCTCAGGATACGCAAGCCTCCTTTGAATTGAAAGAGAGGAGGCTGAGAGTGTGGGTAAATAAGAAGAATAACCATGCCTACCCCCTCACCCACACCCTCAAGATATTTTTGCATCTATTTCAACTAAAGATGTTCTCTTAATTGAATTAGTTTAAAAGACAAAATGTTCATAATTGCAGCAACTTATGTCTTTATCAAGCATGATATGTTTCATTCATAATTCTCAGATAGAACATTACTTTAGCTCATGCAGTACAAACTCTGCAGACTTTAAATTAAGCAAATAATGAAGTGTATATAATTCACAAGATATTTTTTTTCAAAAAAGTGCTGCTCTAGCAGATGAGTGTTGCCATTAACCCGCACAATTTCGTCATTGCAACCTGTATTTGATCAAGTGAGATCTTTTTTATTGATTGATTTCATTTTCTTTTTTTTTCTTTTGATGCTTCTGCGGAAAAACACTTACAATGTGTGCAAAATGGAAACATATAATCATATACACACATGTACATGAGTAAAACATGTTGATCAAGATTTTTTCCCTTTAAATAAAGATTGAAAAAAAAACAAACGAGAAATAAGAAAAATGGATAGGTGTAGAAGATGATTGTCCCCTATTTGAACTGAAAAATTATGGCACAGATACATCAACTTTACCTTTATCAAGATCAAGTGGTTCTTCTTCATACATTAGTAGTGGCATAAAAATTTGATTGTAACGATTAAACAAAATAACTGCTCCTTCAATCATTACTAGAATAAATCCACCAAAAATAGCTGCACCTACCATAGGTACAGGTCCCTGTCTTGCTTGTAAAATTGCACCAGTTGCTGCACCACTCAATATGGAATTCCATGGATCTTCTTTTTTTCTTATATAAACAAAGTTACACTCAATTAATGAAAA